TTATTTAAAAACTAAAATATAAAAGGAAAAGCATTAAAATAAACTATTAATCATAAAAATAATTTAATACATATGCATTTAGTGTACAATAAAGTTTAATTGATATTAGATATTTTGTGTTCATTTTTATAATTTATTTAATTAAACTTTATTTAAAAAATATTTGTAGAATTATTTTTTATAAAAAAATCATATATGTAATGAAATAATTCTCTACATTTAAATCTATACAACATAAATAGCTAGTTATAGAAATAATAAATCATAATCAACTTAAAAAGCATTTAACACAAGAAAAATTATAAAATTTAAATAGATATAAATATTTATTTATATATATATGTGTGAATTACAAAAATTTTAATTTAAAGTTTATAAAATGTTTTAAAGATTTCAAATAATTTTTGATTAATTAATAATTAAATATTTAAATGAATATAAAAATTAATTAATTTATTATTGTTAATAAAATATTCAAATATACAAATCAATACATAATCATTAACTAATATATATAATAATATTTAAATATACATTGAAATGTTTTAATTAAGTTTTAATAAAAAAATTGTCATAAAATAAACTATTATAAAGTAAATATTATAAACTTATAAATACACACATTATTATTTATAATGAATTATAATCAAAACATTTATCTAAACAAAACAAAAACATTTAAAAAATTATAATCAATACATAACAATTATTTATTGCAAACATAAAGTTAACAAAATAAATATTAACTAAAATATTTATTTTATTTTAATAATAATTTTTTTATTTTGATGCAAAAATAATTCATTTAATAATCCTATTTATACAAAAAGTAACAAATATAAGATACAGATTAAAATATATTATAATTATTTTACCATATAAATTTCTGAGTAATGCATATTGTTTATTTTTATAAAAAATTGTAAAAAATAATGTTTATTTAAGATACAAATATTAATATAGTATTGTTTTAAAAATGTATTTTATGATATTTATTTTATTGCATAAAAATTCATAAATATTTTTTTACACATTATTTTATATATATTTGTAAATTTTAATGATTTTAATTATAATACAACTTGTAACACATATATGAACATAAAATTTTATTTATTTATTTGAAAAATTATAAATTTTATTTTTTATTAAATTAAAAAACTGTAACAAAATAAAAAGTATATTAGTATTAAATTTTAACTAACGTATATCAATGAAAAAATATTTAAATATTATATAATTTGTATATTAAGATAATTGTTTTTTAACTAAATTTAAGATAAAAAAATACTAAAATTAAAGTAATAGTTTATTTATATATACTCTATTACAATTATACTGTGCTTATGAGTAATGTGAGTCATGTAATTATAATTGAAATGCCATAAAAGTAAATAATTTATAATAGAAATATAATATATTGGTTTTAATTTAATTTCTAAAATGATAGATAAAAGTGATGATAATTATCAAAGTCAGTGCTCTAAAATTAAACTCTACTGAAACAGAAACCAAAAACTGATTTGATATCCAATACAAAAAAAATTGTAAACATTTTTGTTGATTTTGATTTATCGGATATAGGATTTAATACAAAATCAGTTAATACATCATTTAAGTCATATCAACTGATCTCAAGTTCTAAGAATTACTTGCCTTTAAATTTACTATCAATGTCGTCTATTGTTTTCAGATATTAATCTCTCAGATTTAGGAATTTATGGCAAACCAAATACCAATCAAACAGACACTAAAGTTTTGACAACTAACGAAACTAATAAGAAAACAACACAATTTTCAAGTGATTTTTCGGAGACATTTTTTCTGATCATATTGCCAAAGAAAATGCTGACCAAAAAACAAATGATTCGACAATGATTTCAACATTTTATCAAAAGAAATGGCATTAGACGACGAGTTATTTAACGATAATATTTAAACTAACTATAAATTTGATTGATTTGAAATCGCTTAGAGAAAATATAACTAATAAGTAGATAAATCCGATAAAATTAAATATTAAAATTTATGTATTAAAATTAAAAAAGTGTTAAGAAAAATTAATTCATTTAATTATATAATATTACATTTAATTAATTAATATGAAATTTTTTGTTTAAATTTAATTTCATTGTTAAACAAAAATACAACAATAAAATACGATTAATATATCATTTAATTATTTTATTTGAGTACTTTAAGTTATATAATAATTAGTTTATTAACTATCAATTAAAATCATATTTGATTCTATTGTAATATAGATACCGTATTTTTCTAACTAACTAACAGTATAGTTATGTATTTAAATAATGTACCATACATTTTAGTACGTACTAAACATTTCAGTACGTACTAAATATTTTAGTAGGTACTAAATTATACTCTATTTTAAGAGACATTTCAGTACGTACTAAAATGTTTAGTACGTACTAAATATTATACTGCATTAGCCATTCATATACAACATTCTGATTTATTTTTGACTACACTAATGCCACCTGGATAAGGCACATGGGAGCATCTATTAGAATGCAATAATATATTTATAATATAAAAAATAAATTTATACATATGTTATCAAACGACTTTATTATTATCATATCATGTATTTAATATTGTGATAAATTTTTATATCATATATAACTTTATGATAATAATATCATATTATTAATTGTTGATGTTTTTGCTAATATACTATTTACTCTTACATCAAAAAAGCACATATATTAATATTATACATTATAACATTGTAGGGTACATTAGATATTGTACAGGTATATAATTTTAATATAATTAAATAAATTTAATAGTGTATATAAATTATTGCTTAAATTATTTTTGTTATAATTACCTGAATAATGGATGGTATGTAACAAAATATTGATAATAAAGGCGACAAATAGTGCAGTAATTATTAATGATCTCTTTCTTTGTGTCCATAATTGGCAAAAATGATAAAGTAATCGATAGACTATATAAACGCCAATAATTAGTGTTAACAATGAAAAAATGATTCTCAGAGCTGGACATCGATTTAATTGTTCATCGATTACATAATTTTTGATAAAAGTTTCATTCATATAAATAGCCATTAATTTTGTATAAAATATTTCTTAAAATTGTATAAAATTAAAACATAAATTAATTATAAAAACTATTAATAAACATATTTATACTATTATTAATAAAATATTTTTCTCAGTTTTAATAACAATTGTAGTACTAATAATACTGTATCTATTATGTATAGAAATAAAAGTTTAGTATTGTTTTTAATGATAAGACTTTGAAAATACATAACTACTAAAACTTAAATTTTTGCGATAAAGACATGTTTCCAATGATTTATATCATAGTATTGTACAGTATATTGTATTTGTAGTAAAAATGATTCATCGATTTAATAAATTTCTTATACAATGAAAAGACATTTTTGAAATAATTAAAGATTTGTTTAGCAATATTTTAAACTTATCTATAATTTATCAATTAAACAATGTTGACAACTATAAAAAAAATAATTTATATCAATTATATCGATTGGCATATAAATTGATAAATTTTCATTTATTTAAATCACATTAATTTTAAAAAAAACTTTAAATATAAATATGTTTTATATATTATTTGATGTATCTGAATAATTAATATAACATTATTTTATTAATTAAATAAAATATATACAAAATTTTGAATTATTAAACTAACAAATACTACTGTATTATATAACTACTGTATAATAGTTTAACAATAGAATACAATAAAATTCTGTACTGATATCTACAGTATAGCTAAAGTGTTATCATATTATATTGTCTACAATTTTTACATTTAATCTTAATATAAATGATTAATTATATTCAAACTAAATGATTTTATATCAAACTAATACAGTATATGATGATAAAATATTTTTTTATTTTTGCACTTTACAGACAACTTCATAGACTAATAGTTAGTTATTGACTAATAAAGTCTATTTTTGTTGGTTTCCAAGAACCACGAACTGAGAATCAGATTAAGGCTGTATTGTTTGATCCGACGGTGAGCCCAGATTCGGAACTCTAGCATCAATGCTGTTGCCCAACACAAGAGTATCAACTGAACGATTGTGGACAACACTCGCAAGTCGTTCGCTAGCTTTGATTGATTTGGATCAATCATAAGAACCAATTGGCGCCACTCAGCAACGCTCATATGGGTTGAACCTTTGGACACACCTTTGACGACTACCGTTATGGCCAGTAATAGAAATCTGAGTATATATGCCGACACAAACACCATTAGACCGATATATGAAGTGTAGATAGCGGCCACCGCACCGATCACATGAACCACCGATACTAGGAATATGAGAACTACTAAAAGTTCGTGACTGAGACCTTCGGCACCAAAAAGTATGCGAACATATGTACAGACTTCACGACATTCACCGGTTGTCATCAACTGTCTGATGCCTTGAACACCAAACACTACTAAAGTGATGGCAATTGTTGAGGCAATCGATGAAAACAATAAAACATTCAATTTTGATGGCATTTCTGATTTATGTGTGTCTTACAAATGTTTCGATATTTTCTAATCAATTTTAAATCTAATTTAAATGATTGCTTTAAAAGTGTTTATAATTTGCTGAGAATTTTGAGATTTTAATATTTGTACTATTAATATGTTTGTTAAGTTATTATAGTTAATACAATTTATTAATTTATAGTTATATATTTATATCAAAATTTAAATATTCTCGTGAAATCATTTTCATAAAGTTTTAATCATTTATTTTATGGCATAAGTTAATGTATGATACATTCATTTTCAATTGTTTGAGTTAATTTGTTTATACAGTATTATTATATAAAATATATTATTGATAATATTTGAACAATTTATAAATTCATTGTAAACCAAAATTTTGAACAATAAAATGACAGACAATAATAGTTTATTAAATGATAATAACAATACAGATGATGATAATAATAAAAGTAATAATAATAATGAAGATATTACTAATGATAGACAAATTCAAATAAATGCAAATAAGATATCAGTTAATGATCTGAAAAATAAAAACAGTGATAAAATAATAGATGAAATGACAGATATTATAATCATGAATACAGACGTGAAGACAGTTAAGTATAAAGAATACGATGATTACATCAAAGGAGAAGTTTTAGGCGAAGGAACCTTCGCTAAGGTTCGCGAGTTTGTCCACAAACTAACAATCAAGAGATGTGCGGCAAAAATCTTCAAACGCGATCGCATGTCTTATCTTAAAAAATATAAACACAATATCTATGATAATATCAACAATGAGATCAAATTAGTCTATAAATTGAATCACAAAAATATCATTAAATTCTATGATGTTTTGGAAACAAATAAAAAAATCTATATATTTATGGAGTATTGTGTGGGACCTCTCAGTGATATAATACAGTCGGCATTTCCCAATGGACTTCCCAAATGGCAGTGTCATCACTACTTTTGTCAACTCATTGTAAGAATACGACAAAGCTTTGGAAGAGTTTGTTTTTATTGCTGACAATTATCGTGTCTGTACGTGGAGTCTGGAACTGATGAGAATCTTCATTGAATTAAACCAAAAGACAAATTTGGAGACAGTTATCAATAAGACTCTCAATATTTATGGTCGCAATAACACACTTCTGGATTTATCAGCCGCTTATATCTACAATGGTATGACACAAGAAGCTCGTCGTCACATTGACAATGCAAAGGGTTTAACTCAAGAGTCGATTGAATTCTTATGCGATAAGTTTGTCAGAGACCGGAAGCCACAAGAATTGAAGCGATTTATTTCAATCACTTCATCGATACAAGGATTAGACAGAGAAAAATTGTACAGAATTTTGATTCAACTCTATCTTCAAATGAATGATCGCATCAGTGCTGATGAAGTGGTCAACACAATGATGACACAACTAATTGATCCCACAATAGAAACACTTAACCTTTTGAAAGAACAAAATCAAGTCTCGACATGAGTTGTCTATTATTTATATTTTAGATAATTTAATTGTCGTTTTATTTATAATTTATAATAGATTATATGATTTGTAAATTATAAATATCAATAAGTTTTTAATTAAAAAAAATTAGATTACTTTTATACTATACATTATTTAATTTTGAATAATTACCGGTAAGTTTATAAATAAGATTATTTAGTAGTTATATTTAAAATAAATCAATTATATTACCGTAATTTTCTAATATTTCATCACTAAGTAATTATGACAAATATATTTAATAATTACCGTAATATGAATTAATAAATTCCAATATTTATCTAATTAAGAGTGTTTTTATTCATTTTTAATATCTTTATAAATTATTTTGTAGTTTTGCAACATTTTTGTAGTTTTATAGCATTTATTTGAAGTTAACTTTATATCTCATTTTATAATCAAAATATTTATTATGATCAACATTTTGAGGACATTTATTATTACTAAAGATAAACAAAACTATCCAAACATACAGAACCTATGATTTTCAATGAGTATGAAAAACTAATCTAATAAATACAGTATTTTGCATTTAATTTACTAATACAACTTTAATTTTAAATAAACACTAAACTCTAAAAAATATTTATAAAGTTTAAAAAATAACAAAACATGACATTTTTATTGTAAATATATACAATATTTTATTAATATTAATGTCTATTAGACATTTAAATAAGTTATTTTTATTTTCATTAAAAGTATGCATTATATTCAAGTGGTTTTTCAATATTTATATTTGACTCAACGATATCCCTATATCTTATAAATTATCAAAAAAAAGTTGTGTTAAATGGATTTTTCACTTTATTTTTCAGTAAAATTTATTAATCAAGAATAATGAAAACGAGTTTGTTTTGAAACACATCGACGATGGCATACCTGTCCTGTTTGTCCTATCCTTGTAGTTATCCTTGAATTGGGTGATATACCTCATAACATAACCATAACATAACCGGTTCTCTTGAAAATGTTGTAAACAAATTAAAGGAAAATAATTAAACAGAATATGTATTGGCAAATGAAAATGAAAACAAAACCATTAGACAGTAATTTAATGTAAATGTTAGCTAATATTAGTTAAATTATAGAGTAGAGTAAAATTATCGCTTCTCTAAAATATTGTTTTTTTTTTATTAAATGTTATATAATTTCAATGTGTTTGTTAAAGTAGTGACAAATAACATGTGAAATATACTATATTTTCCTATAATTAAATTGATTTAATACTACAGTATATAAAAAGAATTTGCATATTATATTACAGAACATTCATTGCAAATAAGTCACACATTTTATATTAAATTTTTTCAAAACAAAACTATCAAAATTCAAATCAATATAACATTTCGAGTAATTAAATGTTTGAAAACATATTTTATTTTAATTTGAAAAAACTTCCCATATTTATGTTTAAATATATTTTATTAATATTTGTAAATATTATTTATAAAATTGTTATTTTTTTGATAATATTACTGAAATATTACTATTCAAACAAATTATAGGAAAATCAAGAATTAGATAAAATAAACAAATATTAATAATAATAATAAATATTGTTATTTGTAATATCGTATCAAATATTTACATAAGGATTCAATTTATAATACAAATTATAATATAAAGATTGTTTGATAATTATATATACAAATACAATCAATCAAATAGTTAATACATGTTATATTAAATGAAAGATTAAATACAAGAGTAATGTACAAAATGATAGCAATAGATGGATATGAAGTGCAAGTGATGAGCCATTTATCGGATGGCATTCTCGCACAACATATTGACCACTCTGTCAGCCATAGAGTTGCGATTTGAACGATTGATGTGAATCTCATCGCTTCCCGATCTTCTTCTTAAATCTTCAGCCAATTGTACATTACGTTTGACGGGAAGTGTTGCCATAATTCTGTATGACTTTGTTGTCACTTCGTTGTCAAACATTTGTCGCACACTTTTACGAAACACATCACTAAATGTTTCCATTTTTCCGATTTCGTCGATCACTAGAATCATCTGTTTATTTGATTTGTCCAACAATTCAATCTCCTCTTTGGATATATTCAGCAACGGTATAGCAATTGATTCAAATGAATGCAAATCAACAAAATATTTGCCAACTTTGGGACCACTATTGAAGTCAATGCGAGCCAATTGTTTGCGATTTAATGGATTAGTTATATCAATGATATCAAAGCCAATCCTTTCTTCAGTTGCTATTCATCGATGGTATACAACAAATACAATAACTTTTTGGTCAGTAATGCAATTCAAACACCAATCAGATATGAAAATCAATTGTAAAATCAATTACCAGATCTGACTTCTTGAGTGTAAAAACCTTTGACAGTAAATCTGTGACTATATTTGTCTTCAATAATATCAATAACTTTCTTAATGAGTGTTGTCTTTCCAACAGATGGTAAACCAGTGATAAAGATATGGTTTGTCATCAAAATTATGATCACTTTTATTGAATATTTTAATAGATATTAGAGTCTCGACTGTAAACACATTCAGCTTTTATACCAATAAAGGCATCAATTGTAGGGACTGTTTCTTAAGTGAATATTCAATGTTTGTATACATACTATACAGTGATATTACTGTACATTACATTACATGATTATATACATGTAGTTGTATTGTATGTATTGTACAGTACTGTACATATTATATTGAATACTCGGATAACAACTAGAGTATAGTGTATTACGGGAGTCCAAAACCGTTACATTTGTGACAAACCCGGAACCAATATCTATCTTAATTGTACTTATTTTTTAAAATATTTATTTCTAAGTTTTATCATTTTTAAAAATAATTTTCATTATTTGATTAACAAATTTATCTAAAACTTGAATTTAATTTAAAAAATAGTTTGGTTTGGTTTAGAATGACCTAATAGTTCATTTGAATTACATGTCTAATGTTGTTGTGAAATGTTGTTTATGTGTTGATGTGTATGTAATCACGTATACGATATGTACTGTAAATTATTATACTATACTACTGTATACTGTAGTACAGTATGTCTATCAATGCATTACTATTGACAATAACATTGTTGTTGTGGTCACTCCTCACGTATGCCAAACCCAAACATAATGTATGACTTTATCTGTAAATTCAATAATATTTATATTTATTTTTCTAAAACATTAAATTGATTGTTGAAATTGAATGCAAAAATATTTTTGTTTAATATTAATCATTTAGTAATACTGTCAATGATTAGCAAACTTTCTTAAAGTTTTGAGACAACAATCATTGAAAGTATAATACAGTAGTATTTGTGACATAATTTGCAAATGTTTTATCATTTTTTTGATATTTTTTATATACATTAATCTCAATGCAAACAAAATTTTAATTATTAATATAATACTATTTTATCGTATCTTTCGATATAATAAATCACTTCAAATATGGTCTCATATATAGTAATATTTATATTAATATCTTTTTTAATTTTATTAGTTGCTCTAAAATTAAATTTAAAATATTTAAAAACATTTATTAGTCTATATATACAATATATAAAAAATAATGTGTAAAATTTAATTAACATATAGTATTATTTTTTAATAAATACTAATATAAATTGATGTACAGTACCTTTACCTACCTGTGAGTTCATAGACACAATCTATGATTTTATTTTATTTTTTATGATTATCAACTAAAACCAATAACCAAGGTTCTATCAGTAGATAATTTTTATTATTTATCATAAATTTTTTATCATAATTATAATAACATAAACACTCATAAATTTATATTACACACAAATAATTAATACATTCGGTAAAAGTTACTAATAATAAGTTTTTATTTCTAAAACTAAGCCAAACATCGGATAATATTTTGTTTTTTATAGTAACTGTTGTTATGCTTACTGTTATGAAATGATAGTCTAATTTAGTTATTGTATGATTCACTTGTCTAATGCATGCGATTTTTTTGATATAAATAAAAATATTTATTTTAATTTAAATGGCATATAAATTATATTTATCTTAGTATTCATACAAATGTTTAATTAATTATTATTAATTTTGATATGTTTTTTAATATGTATTTTATCAGACATTTCAAAATATAGTAGTTGTTCATAGAGTACAGTATTTGCATTGTATTAATACTTTTTATTATTAGTGGTTGTATTAAATTAATTAGATTTATGCTAAACTAAAATAAGTCATAATAACTAATAATACAATGAAATCTATAATTGCATTACGAGATTAAAGATTTAAGCTAATTTGAATACAATGTTAAATAATATTTAATTATATTTCAATATAAGACATTAAGAGTAACTGTCGCAGCAATTAAGTTAACATTAGATTAGTTTTATGACAGATTGTTTTTTTATACAAAAACTTATTTCCGTACAAATATAAAACTTATTTATTTTATTTATAATATATCCTTAATATTTATAAAATTATTATTATTTATTAATGTCTAGAAAAGTGCTGATTTTTCAAATAAATTGCATTTCACTTATTAAAAATATACTTAATCTATAAACTAATTGACAAACGATATTTTAAAATGATTAATTATATCATTTCAAAAAAATCATTGATAATTTTTTTCATTTACTTATCCAAACACAATATATCGTATAAAATATACAATAAATTAATATCTATGCACTAAATTATTATAGATATAAAACATAAAAAATGGGTTAAATATAATCTAATATAATTGAATAAAATATATTTAGTCCAAATATATGCACACGTGTTATAATTTATACCTATAAATTTATTATTGTATTAATTATTGGTAAAAATTAGACTTATAAAAAAATACAAACAATTAACTTATCATATTTATTATGGACTAATTAATATTTTTTTGTTTTTATCATAAATACTCTTCATATACTAGTATAAAAAATATTTTATTTTTATTATTCAAACAGATGATAAAATTTATTATATTTGTTATAAATAGATTAAATAAAATATAATTTGTTAAATTAGCAAATTTATCAAGGCAAGTTTAATGAACATGTTGTTAATCAAATGTTTTCTGGTTAAAATGTTGATATTTGTATTGTTAAGTAAATATTTTGATTAAACAAAATAAAAATATGTCTATAATCGACAATCTATTTAAAAACATATTAAATTTCATTGAATAGATGCCAAAAATATTGTCGCTTATTATGATGTGATAAACAAAAGACTGTTTATATGAATTAATTTAGAGATTATTTTTGGTTGAGCTTTCATAACAATGTTTTGCCAAAAAAAAATGATACTTAATAACCCTTTTTGCATAGAAATGTGTGTTAAAAATGATAGAGAAATTTAAATTGTTAATACAAATGCATAATATAGAGTACAATAACTATTTGGTGCCATTGGTCTCAATCATAATTTTAGTGTATGTTATGACCTCTTCATCGTCTGAATTGTTATGATATGAGAGAAGTCGTGCCAAATCTTTTTCTGGACCGCCAAACATATCTCTCTTATTTAAGACATAAATGCGGATCAATAATAACAATAAAATAACAGCAAAACTCGATTCTCCGACAAACAGAATATTCTGTAGCATATGATAACTGGACGGCCGCTCAATAAGATAATGGCTTAATGTTAGTGACGAGAAAATAGCATAAATAATAAAATATAGACTATATTTGTTGATTTGATGTCTCTCTCCCAAAACCATTGCTTCAATTAGATTTTTAATTGATTTGAAGCCAAAAATTGTTAGCAAAATGTTTGTCCAAAACTTTAACTCCATTGTCGATAACCAGTATTTACGATAAAACACTTTGAGCTCAAAGTATTCAACGGGACGTATGATGTTATCTGGTTTAAGGAAATACGGTTTTGAAAATTTAAAAAACATCAAAAAAATATTAATTAGTAAAGTATTAGATACTGAATATGATAATAGTTAATGTGTTTAATTTAAAAATCAATGGCTTGTATGTTATAAACATCTATATAAATGACTCATTATTTGGGTCTAAATGCTGTTAATTGTTATATTTTGTAATCAATATTTTTTATCATATAGTTTGTCGATATTAGAGTGATAAAAAATATTATTTATATAATTGACAATATAAAAAATATTAATTTGTAAATATCTTGCTTAAGCCAGAAACATATTATAACAATATTTATAATAATATAGTTTAAAATCAAGTTATAACCAGATATTATATCTATATAACTATATATATAAATAAAAAATATTTAGTTTATTGATTGTGTAGTTAAATTTATAGTTATGTTTAATGACAATGTAAACTAGTCTCATATGTACAGTCTGTACAATATATATTATATAATCTATTACAGTATAAGTTTAACATGACATTTGTGATTATAACAAAAATAATTTTGGCTTTTATTGCCTAACAAATATAGTAGTCTATAAACATTTGTATCAATTTTTGTTATTTTCTTAAATCATTTATTTGAATTAAGATGTTTTCGGAAATAAGAAATATAAAAATCCAAGAAAATTAAGTGTCCATTAAATGATCATTTGCTGCACTTAATCTTAATTAATATATAAGTTTACTGTATTATCATTTAAAAATATGTCTGTATATTATTATATAATAATAACTAATATATAATTGTTATTTAATGCTAAATGTTAATGAAAATCAATCAAAATGTTATGCTATTATTAACTACAGTATGTTGTCATAAGACATGTCTCTCTCAATCTATGAATATATCGATCATTAGTTGTGTTTATTGATGTAATCCAGGGATAGCTTCTATAGTATTATTATTAATAGATTTATTTTGAAGGCAATGTTACTAATTTTGAAATTAAAATATAATTAAAATAAAGTCATACTGTGTTTAATCTATTTTAGATAATCGTTTCAATGTCTAATTTCAATAATTAAATAAGTATTAATTAACTGTCCTAATGTTTGCATTTATATACATGTAAACAACTGATAAATTAATATAATTTACTAATAATAATACAAACTTATTAAGTCTTGAATAGAAATAGTATTATACAACATATGCTGTTCTCATATAAAACAATATTCTATGCAATTGAAGGATATTTATAACCAAAATCTGTGTTTATAAAAATAAAATAAAAATATTGTTTTTAACAAATAAATATCAAACTTGTGTGACTTCCCCTTTTAATTTAATTGCTTATTTCAAGGCTTAATTTTTTTATATCATTGATATATAGATTCTAAATAGTTATGCTAAAACTGAAAATAATTTTGCAATAAATTAAATTATTATTTATAACAATAATTGATAATTAAGAATAGTAAATTTTATGCAATCCTATTAATTTCTAAAAATAGTCAAATCAAACAATAATCATGGACTAAACACATAATTAAATTAATTATAAACATAATTATTATGCAACTACAGTATAAAAAAGTAGTTACTATAAAATTGTTTTTATTTTCTATATAGATATAAAGTTTATTATAAACACATTTAATAGTTACTACGTTAATAATAGTTACTGTATTATTATTATTATTATCTAAC